CTATTACATGTTCACTTACACAAGCAGTACCCATCGCGCACACAGTTTTAAGGCACATTCAAGGTACATAAGGAAGATACTCTGAAGTGAGGTATACCCTAGAACGGCAAGTAACAGCATATTTGCCCCATGTGAAGTAGGAGGCAATTGGTCCCTCGAGATAGAAGCTATCTCACAGTGTAGTGCAAAATCTCACAACCAGGCAGCTACCCTAGAACTCACACACCGAATTTTCCTCTCTTTGCTTATCCCACAGCACTAAGTGTGTGTGCCATCATCATCCTGTTCTCAGGGCTTTTTCCTTGCAACCCCAAAGACATACTTTTAATTGGGGGGTGTTAACCACAGACATTTAATAAGCAGTGATTACTTGAGCTTTAATCTGTTCTGCAGGTTCTTCTAAAAGGAACTCACACCTTCAGGGAGAAAAATCAACCCTCATGACACTTTTCTAAGTTATAACCAGAAGAATTTTTTTCCTCCTAAAGAGCAACAAGCCCTGTCAGTGTGACATAGGTAACAAACCGTGAATCTAATTAAGTGTGCAATTATACAGCAGATTGCAGCACCGTATGCTATTACTTAAATCAGCTGACTTGCATGCCAGAAGCATGGCAGTCCCAGAAACATGGCACTCGAAGCAGACTGAGCTGAACACACTAGAGACCATTTCCAGTGGGGGTGAAGAATAAGCCAGGCTCAGTTCACCCAGGCTGATGGCACCTGCACGCATCCAACAAAAAAGACAGCAGACGCACAGAAATTCAAAGTCTAAAGGAGATGCAGAAGCAAACTTGGGCAACCCTGCGGTGTGACAGCTATCACACGGAGTTTTCTTGCATCATAGGCTTGTACATATTTGTCTCAGTCTTTTTTGGATGTGGCTCTCAGTGTAGAGCTCTAATATTACATCTCTTTTTCTTGAAATATGGTGAATTGACAATACCTTTTCAAAGTTGTCTGTGTAAGACAAGTATTTCCCCTTTACCAAACTCCTCTTCCCCAAAAAGCAGTAGTTTTGGGATGTGTGCCTTTACACCATGCAGTTCCTAGATTTGAATACTGACACTCACATAAATAACATTTACAGTGAGAATCTCTGTTAAACAATCCACACAAAACGGAGGGACACTTACAAATCTCCCTTGAACCACTGTAACAGAAATACACGTGGCATTAAAAGCAAACAGCTATCATGAAACTGAACTCGGAGCTCTGTGTGGCCAGCACAGTAGGGCTCAAATAAATGTGGGTTTGCTTCAAAGCTGCTGCCACTATCATTGTTGCTTTGGGCACTTAGCAACAGATAGAACATTTCTGGGGAATTTTGCAGGCAAACACACACACACACACTGTAGGGTACCTTTTTGCCTTGCCTGGGAGGGGAGTTTGGGAGGACTAGGGACTGCAAGTAAATTCACGGTGAAGAGCTGGAAAAACATGCTCTGAAGTAACAGCGAGTCTCCCAAAAATCAGAAAAAAACTCAGCTTGAAATCTGATCTAAGATTGCAAACACGACTGATAACTACCACATCTCTGTAGACAGAATTTACCAACGTTGGGGAAGTACAAAACAATTGCTGAAATCACATTTGCTACAAGGAGTTGAGCTGAACGCTGAAATGCCGTTAGTGCATGGTTTCAAGGACAAAGCTTTATGCAAAGCCCCGGTGCCATACTTTCCAGGCATGAGGGACAGGACATGACCCTGATCTACCCTGTGTGATTGATGGACCCTCTTTCTCATTGGCAGTCTTCAGGCTTGCATGGTTTACTGAGGGTTTCTGGGTGGCTGACTGTGGGCGGCTCTACCTTTTAGTCCTCTCAGGGCTGGTAATTAATTGTCAAACTGGCGCATGTCCTCACCTCACCTGGATCTCTCAGCAGAAGGGAAAAGGACTCCCAAGCCTGCAGAAGATTTCAAAAACCCATGTATTCATAGGTTCTGCAGCAGAAAAAAAAAAATTAAAACCACACTGTGCTGGAAGATGCGTGCTGGAAAACAGGTATATAGCAGCTTAAATAGGGTGAATAAAGCCCAGGAATATCAAATCAAACCAGAGAATAAAGTGAACTGCTTGTGTCTTGTGGGGAAATGGAAAATTGTCCTGTGACAGGAACAGGCATAGTGCCAAACAGATGAAACCACTAGTAAATGATCTAACTTTCTGAAAATTGTAATTTTTCTGCCAAACTTTCCTCTGCTTAATAAGCTACTCTTGCTTTTGACACAAGACAGATAAAATTTAAATAATCCTTTGGTTAAAGGTTGCCCACTGATCCTGATGGGATTGCTCTCAATGCAAGCAGAGTGCTATACCCCACTGTTAACACATATGTTTAATGCTTCAAAAGGGCTAGTTTCACAAAGAGGGAGGAAAAAGAGTTAAGTCTAAATTTACCTCCTGACTTTGGAAAAGTCAGGCAAACAAATGTGAATGAAAGCAGTGGGGGTTTTTATTATCTTACTATTGATTATCACAGTTCCATCACACATGATTTGGTCAGAACTAAACAAATCTCCCTGTGACAGATTAAATGATTCTGCCCTCTGATTTAGTTTCCCCTTAAAAAGACTGACAATTAATAGTCCCTTAAATAGCTCCTGTCTCTAGACTGACTCTTCTCCCCATTCTACTAGACACTAAAGAAAAAAAAAACCCTTTTTTCCTCTTCTAATTCTTCCTCCCAAGGTGGATTCCTGTTGCACAGGCAGTAAAGCCAAGTTTGCTTGAGCACAAAACCAAGGAGGAAAGCTTTACTGTTCTGCAGAGGCCACAAGAGCTTACCTGCACAGCAGTATGTACCTCGGTCCTTCTGTTTATATTTGCTCTGAATTAAGCTGTCCCATTCCTTTGCAGCCACACATCCATTAAAACTCCTGCCTAATATCTTACTATTTACTATCCGCCTTCAGCGTATGGTACTGCAGTATTCTCACACTACTTTGCAGGAGCTGAGGTGATTTTCTGCATTTCTGAAAGTTTGGCTAATGACTGGTTTTCAGAAGAGATCCAACTTTATGCTGTGCCACAATCATAGCTGCCTTCTTGTGATACACCATGGAAGTAGAGTCCTACCTCTGCTGCTGGCTTGCTGAGGAATCACACATCAGCTGCTTCATCATGCAGTGAATTTCCAAGTTCAAGAGTATTACTAGTGAGAGCAATGTATTACTACTGTAGCACCAAAAACATTGAGTTGTTATTTATGCCTCATTAAGCATCACCAGAAAGCTCTAGTGTGAAAGCTGAGTTCTTCTCTTATGGCTACTCTCTTTCCTCATTACAAAATTAGCCAAAAAGTCACTTTTGAGGGGCTTCAGGAAATTAAAAAAAACCTCATACTTGAAATAAATCAAAATATTTGAAACATTTTGTTTCAGTGTTGACCCCTGTGTATAACTAGAGGTCATACGTTTAGAACCAGAAAAATCTAGATGTTCTGGAACATTTTGATGTTTTCCAACCTCTAAGTTCAAAATAAAATTGTTCAAATGTCCATTACATTCTATTGAAGTGACATATGAAGATGGAAAAATGATTACGTAAATACTTTTTATTCATTGTCTCCAGTAGGCCAGATTTTCATTTCAGTTGTCCTGGCAAAATTCCCAATGTCTTCATTGTGCTTGCCAAAATGCCAGTCCTTTGACTTTGGTAAGACACACTGCTGAAGATGCAGAAAACAACCAGAGCATGTATTCCTCTTTCTTCGGTGTTTTTGGCTTTGATCCAGGACATGGGAATAAAAGCTGATTTTAGAAATTTAAATCCAATCTGGTTAAAACATGGCATTTTTAAGAATTGGTTTTGAGAGCAGAAAAATACAGACATTAAGGACGAAAGACCATCTTTTAAGAAGAGCTTGTCCAGTTCCAATCCTAAATATTAAGGCTGGGTTGTTCACATCAAGTTTACAGAGAATAGAAACAAAAAACCAAATCATATTGGATTATATTCAAACAAATATTCAAACGTACCCTGAATACACTTTCTATTCAGATAAAATGCTTAGCACCCTTTTGATAACAAAATAACTTCTGGCTGAAACTCCATATAGTTTCAATGAATTTATTTTACAACAGTTCCCTTTAACAAATAAGTGTAGGTCCTAGGAGCAGTTACTCCAAGAAGTAGGACAGCCAGTTCCACCTAATCCTATTTCTACAAGAACTTGTATGCTGTCTACCTGGAAGTTGCCTCCCAGTAGCAACTCATGCTGTATTTTACTTAGTTTCTTCGACAGACATACACTACTGCATTGGCCTTGTATTGGTTTGTGGAAACTATTGAGTTGAATCCCCTTGTTTCCAAGGGCTTGACTGGATTTTATCCATGCTGCCAGCTGGTTGGCACAAACCAACTTCACATAGGTAAACATAATACAGTCTTAGTGTGGCATACTGATGAATCTAATAAACTTTACTGAGAAATTAAATCATGTCCAGGCAAATTATAGGGACAGAAGAACAAGGATGTACTTCATTTCACCCGCCAGCGCAAGCACATCTTGACAAGAAGTTTTGCATCATCTACATGACACAAGACAAGAAAAATGGTCCAATTCAGCCCGAGATAAACTCCGTGTACAAGAGGAAGTCAGACCCACTTCCATTTCTTCTGAATTTTCATATCTAACTGAAATGCTAAAGTTAGAAAGTTAGAGACCTTAAACCAGTCTTTCATTAATGAGCAGAGACAGGCACTTCCAGAGGACAACATAAGGAACTCAGGTGGGTTGAAACACTCTTAGACATAACTGCTTCTCTCCGGTGATAATAAAAGAGAGCAAAGACAATCCCCCTCCTAACTGAGGAAACTCAGGGGGGGTGATGCCCCAAGAATGCAAGGGGATGAACTTACACCTTTGCGCGAGTAGCTCATAGCTCCTGCAGTAACTACTACATTGTAAAATCCTATGTAAACAAACTCTTGAAATTATTGCTTTCAGTGCTGCATTATGAACGTAGCAATTTTCAAGGAAAAAGCTCCTCTAGTCAATGCTTTGAGTGCTGTGTCTTCTGTTCAAGGTCTTTTGTCTTTCCCCAGTCCTTAACTGTGTGTTGGATATTCCACTTTTGTCCCGTGCAGGTCTGCATTACAAGTCTGTATGAAACCAAATTGTTTGCTGTGATTTCGAGGCATCTCTTAGTTCTGTTGATTATGGCTGATGCCTACAAAAGGAAAGGAAATATGAAAGAAGCTGAGGGCTTACAAAGTTAGCGCTCAGTCAGGAAGCAATTCTCTTGGCCTTTACAAATGTGTCCGAGAAACACTAATAGGTCACAAACCTGAAGGAAAAATGTTGCATTTTCCTCAGCCTAATGATGCATGACAGTTTACGGCACTCTCTAAGGTGTATTAAAATATATTTAGTGGTTTTTTTTGTGTCTGCTTTTTGGAGTTTGGGGTGGGTGGGAGGGGTTTTTTTTGCAGATTGGGGGTTTTTACAGTTTAAAAATTAATTTTAGTAAATTTTAATACTATATCCTGTTCTGAAAGAAGACAGCTAATAACAGGTAAGAATATTCATTTCTTATCTCGAAGTCAATATTTCAGTACCAACTATTGTGAATGGTGTGGGGTGTGATTAAGTCAACTCATCATGCCAGAAATGAGGATTTTCCTAAGGCGTTGGGCTGCAGAGCAAACAGGATCTTACCTGGCTCCTTCAGGCAGCCAGTTGTTTCACTATGATAATGCCTGATGCACACAAGAAACCGAAGGTTTACTTTTAAGGTGGGTCTAAACCTTCCAGAAACATACCTGCACCTTTTTCTAAGTTTTGTGGTTACAGACCAGACTTAAGGTAAAAGAAAGCCCATGTCAGCAGAATGTCTGGAGACCATGTAGGTCTGTATTATTTGGTGCACATCACTGAAACCTTTGTCTTTCACCAATTCAACTCCTCTATTCTCTACCACTCTCTCACAAGATTTGTCTCCTGCTTAGTTTTGCACTGGGGGATACAGTAAACAGGTCCATATGTTACATGTAAAAATAATTAATTATTAATTACATAAAGCTAATAAGGCTTGAACTGCCTGAGAGGGGAGAAGGTCCATGGCTTCCTTTCCCACCTCTCCCTCCATCATTATCGCTTCTGCCTGTTTATCCTGCCCCAGCAGCATGGCAGTACGTGTCTTAGACTAGCTGACCAAGCTAGTATTATCACATTCTGTATTCAGAGGCACCGAATACAGAATATGAAGGTATCACTTGGGATCTTAAGCATGTCAGCATCGGCTGGCATAAATCCTGCTGAGATGGAGATAAGTGAACATGGCGTGAAGGCTCTGATCACCAGCCGTAAGCTGAGCTCTGAAAGGATGAGCCTAGCCTGATCCCCAACAAGGATTTCCAGGCTCAGACGCTGTTAGAGAAGATGGTACCAGAGAGAGAGCAGGATGAGGTGTCAGCCTGCTCTTTCCCTAAGACCAACAGGTCCCATGGGAAGGCTGGGAAGACAAACAGTGGACAGTGGAGAGAGTTCACAATGTATAGTCAGACCATCAAAAGCGACAGAGGCACCTGGGCTTGCACATTCCCTGCCCCTTAGCTGAACTGTGGTAACTGAGCAAGTGTTTTTAGTCAGCCCAGCTAAAAATTAAAAGACTTAAAGTAAAAGGCTTAAACCAGCTGATTCCACCTAGACAGACAGACAGAAGGTTGGACAAATAAGTGGCTATGGTTCAGATAACAAGTAAGAACTGGTTCAATTCTGGTAACCCAGCTTCAGTTGTGTGACCATCCCCTTGTTTTTAACATCACACATCCCTGACGACTCAGTCACCTTCACCATAACTCTCGCAGTGGCACCCGCAAGTCTTGAAATTGAGGCAACGTTATTCAGAAGCAAACGGCTTTGCAAGGGAAGTGTCTAAGGGTTCATTACAACGGCAAAGCTTACTGAAATGTGGGGATATAGAAATCCACTTACCTGCTTAAAATCCCAGTGCAAGTTCAGGCCTTTATTCACAGCTGTCTCACATTGCTCTAAAACTGGCAGGTCCCCACTCCCAGGATCTATTAGGTATCTATCAACTGTATTCCATCGGGCGCATAAACCTCCTACATACATTTCTCCAGCGCTGTGATAAAAGACGTGCTGAAAGGGAAGGTGACACTACTGTCAGTGAATTAAGATACCAGGGAAGTCTCATCAGCAGATGATAACAGACAGTTCCAAACCTGATACTGAGAGGTATCAGCTGTACAGCACCAGCATTCACTGATCTCTCAGTAATTAAACCAGGATCAATTTGACCCTCTATACAATGTCTTTCTGCTTTCCAATGAAAAACAAAAGCAAGATACTTACAACTGAACGGTAACCCTTAGCTTCCCTCCTACTGAGAGGACAGGCAGTGAGGTGTGAGGAAGAGCTCCACCTCTCTCCCATTCATCCCACTGAACTTCTGTTAACAAGATCAATCAGTATCAACATGAGGTCTCCCAATTTTTTTCACAAGGCTAAACCAAAAGCCTTCTTTTAATGCACTTAGATCTCCACGGCAACCTGCTCTGCTGCCAGTTGCATTGGGGAGCAGAATTTAATGAAATAAAGGTTAATATTCCCCTTCAGTATGTTGTGGTTTAACCCCAGCCGGCAATTAAGCACCAAGCAGCTGCTCACTCATTCCCCCCCTCCACTCAGTGGCATGGGGGAGAGAATTGGGGGAAAAAACCCAACACTCCCCTACCCAAAACCTCATAGATTGAGATAAAGACAGTTTAATAAGAAAGAAAAGGAAGGGAAATAATAACAATAATAATAAAGGAATATACAAAACAAGTGATGCACAATACAATTGCTCACCACCTGCTGACCGATGCCCAGCAAATCCCTGAGCCATGGTGCCCCCCAGCCAACTCCCCCCCAGTTTATATACTGGGCATGATGTAATATGGTGTGGAATACCACTTTGGCTCTCTCGGCTCAGCTTTCCTGGCTGTGTCCCCTCCCAGTTCTTCTGCACCCCCCGCTTTCGCTGGCAGGACAGTACGAGAAGCTGAAAAGTCCTTGACTTAGTATAAACGCTGCTTACCAACAACTGAAACATCAGCATGTTATCAACATTATTCTCATCCTAAATCCAAAACACAGCACTATACCAGCTACTAAGAAGAAAATTAATTTTATTCCAGATGAAACCAGGACACAATAGCATAGAGATAATAGTTTTGAAGTGCCTATTTCATGGCCCTGTGGAGTCTTGAAAGGAACACTTAGCAACAGCTCATATGAGAAGATCTGACCAGTTGCTTGCCTTACCTGTGGTGAACGTGCATGATTGGGATAAATAATTGGTGTGTTTCCAGGAAAACAGGTCAGGTTTCCCTGACATTTTCAGGGCTGCTAAAGAACCCACACTTTCAAAGCAACTATCTAGATACAATGTGCTTCATAGCACATCTATCCCACCACCTATAAAACATCTTCTCCCCGCTGCTAGCTCTGCGCTGGACATCATATCTCTCATCTCACTCTCAAATGCTATTCATACTTAACCAGACTGGAGCTGTTCCATCTTTCAGAGCATACCGCTCAGCTGGTAAACGTTCATAAAGGCACCAGAGTGCCCAGTCAAATCCATCTGCAGCCACTGAATACTGAAGAAGCTCAAAGTCATCAAAATTAACATTGTCAAATACCGGATCTTCTTTTAGTCAAGACAGAATAGGTGCAGCTCTACCAAAATTAACAGTCTATTCAGCTTGAAAAAGTGGAAGTCTAGTGAACAGTACTAAACTTCACCACCTGTTTCTAAAACTGGGTTAACTAAGTCATTGACTTCAGCCTCTACAAAAAGTTATATGCCAGTCTTGGAGGGCTAGTAACCCAAATTGCTCATGCCATGGCTCAATTATCCCTTCCATTAGGCTGCTTCTGCATTTTCACTGTCATTAATCAAACTAACTGTAAGTTCCATGCTTAACTTGCTGGGTTTATTGCTACCTGGGTCTTCTTCTTACAGGCTCCAGAGTCTTCACTATCTGCAAGAAGGGAAAAGGAAAGGAAGGAGAGACCCTGAGGGGTTCTGTAAGCCCTCAGGTTGATCATTCGCCGTCTTTGTGCGTTGATGGCACAGCTGCTGTCTGAGGGAAAGGGTGTGACTGATCAATGCACCCTTATGACAGAAGGCTCAGAGAAGATAGGCAAGGATGATGTGCTCATAAAGCTCAGAGAAGAATGCAGAGAGTGACCACAGCTGTTGTAAAGGCAGCTGAACTTATCCCAACACCAAGGGGACCAGAGAGTGGCCTTTGTTGCAGATAAATGGCGTTATCAGTTGAGTGAGTCAACTGGTTGTGTACATAGCCTTCTGAAAATAATCAATAGAAAGTATTATCTTCCTGAACCAGCCAGACCAACATGGGGGAAGTGTATACGTGGCTCAGCTCAACATATAGTATAAAAACTGAACACCCTGAAAAATGAACTTTGAAGAGAGCAATGCGCTTGAGTTGGCTTCAACCCCTGCATTCCTTCCCAGCAACTAGGGATGTCCAGCATCTTGACAGTGAGCATATAGAGAGCGGTAATGTGAGTCCCATTTGTATTGTGATTCAACTGTATATTGCAATTTCTATATTGTGCTTGTGTTGTGATTTCAGTATATTGCTGTATCACTTTTCTAAATCAAAATCCCATGTATCTTCAAATAAGTAAAATTAGTATTAAAACACTAAACCCTCCTCATGTGGAATATCTAAAAGAACTTGGTCAGACAGTATTGGACTCTGACAGAAGGAGTCTTTTTCCTGGACCCCAATTGTTGCTAGGCCTAAAAGAACTGACTTTATCTCTCCCTACATACTCTTGACAGCCCAACCTATCCAAATGAGACTGTAACAGCTAGGGAGTGTCAGCTGGTGTGTTACTGAGAGAGAAAGAGGGATCTGGACCACACAGAGCCATTTTGGCCCAACAAGGGCTGAGAGAAGAGCCTTTCTCCCAGAAAGTGAGACAACATGGACAATAGTCAGCCAGTGAATTCAACAACCCAGAGGCGAGAGATGTAAAGACATTTCACATAAAAACAGTACCATAGACATCACTAGCTAGCAGAATGTAAATATCTATCATCACCCACTTGTTTTGTCTCTCTTTGCAAAAAGAGTCCTATAGAACTACGATGCACTATCAAACTAGTGGGCAACAGAAAATAAACCTCAGCCAAAGCTAGAATAAGAATCAAACCAATTTAAAGTCATTGGGTATTATGGCTGTCTCATAATTTGGCCTTATAAAGGGCCAAAACTGTTGGCAGTGGAACTAAATAACCTGCCTCCTTCTTATGTTATTTCACTACATGAAGTCTCTTCTCCTAGAAATGTAGTAAATATACAGAGAAGGTAGGCATTTCTCTTTTCCTCTTCACTAAACAGCTTACTCTGTTACCTGTCTGCTTTGTTATTTATTTCAAACAATTGCATCCCTTTTCTTCTCAGAAATAAATAACTTGGTGGCTGTTAATTAACATGTGGCAGGCCAGAAAAGAGAACCATATATGGGATGACTGTGCCAGCTACACAGTTATAGTCCTTGTCCATCTCCCTCTCCCCACTTCAGAAATCCCCCAGTCTTCATAGTCTTACCATGCCATGTTCACTTCAATATGGGCATCCAAAATTGCAACAACATCTGCAGTTGATGCCTCCCAGGCAGAAATCCGGGCTTGTGTTAGGTCTTGTCTTTTCTGATGTCTGATGACCTTCAGCAGTCCAGGATGCTTTCATTGTAATTTGTGATATGTGTTTCCAAAGGTCCTTTCGGATCATCTAAAACCAGCCCCCACATTTTAATGTAAAAAAAAAAAAAAAAAAAAAGTTAATAAATATTAAGAAATGGAAAAGATTATGTAGGTAATGGCTTTCCAGCTTGTCCCAATTCCAGACCAAAACCTGATTTGTTCTTTGCAATAGATCAGGTAGAATTATTCAGGTACTCATGAATTCAAGAAGCTTATTTTTAAAACCAGCTTCCATTCCAGGACTTTGGTTAAGTACCTAAATTTCATTTACATACAGTGCTATTGTCTGGCTTCTAAATTGTACACAAACATCAGTATGTAGAAACTTTAGACATGTGCCATAAGAGCAACCAATTAGCTGTCTTAGTGCAGTAATTTCTGTGTGTATCTCCTACCATATGGAAAGGAAAAGAGAAAATAAACAAGCCCTGAAAACATGAAATGCTCCTGTAAGAGCTGTAGGCATGCCAACACCAAAGAAAAAAATAGTGTCAGAAAAGGAATAGAAAATTGGGACCTCTTAGCATCATTTTGGAAATTCACTTAAACTCTTGTTCCACCCAAACTGACATGTTATTCTAGCAGCTACAATGCCTTAGAAAAATGAGAAATCAAACACATCTCATCAGGCAAGGAAAAAAAAAAAAAGAACAGAACACCCTGAAGATTAGGGGCATGACTGTTTCTTACGGATGATTTTACAATGCTTTGTTCAGCTCAATTTTAAGAGCAACAACGCACTCACTGCTTCCCCTAGCAGTATTTTCGACAACCCAAGACAGCACTCTTCAAGGAGTTATTTCAGATACCTACAGAGATAGTTTCTTTAGCATACTCTTACTTTGGTACTGTGCCTGATGAGCCAGTGATGATAAATACTCTCCCACTTCAACGTTTAACCTTTTCAGATACTCGCAGAGCATCATCCTGTTCCTTATTAGCTGCCTGTTTTCAGGCTATTAAGGTGTTTGGGTTTTTTTCCTGTACTCGATTTACTTTTTAATTTAAAGAGCGGTCTACTCTGTGTGCACCCAAAAGGCCACCAACATTCATTTAACACAACAGTGGCATAAATTAGCAAGACTCCTGCCTTCCCTGGGTCACTTACCATTTGAACTGCAATCATCTAACAGGATGATTTCTTTCAATAAATGAGAAGGTGTTCAGTTAATTATACAAGTAATTGCACATAAGATGTTGACAGTGCTTCATTCATAAATAGAAGTACAATACTGAATGTTGGAAGGTCTTTCGGATATGTTTTCATTTCATAGCTGTAATAAAGACCAACAACTTTAGCACAGTTTCTAAAGAAAGTCAGAGAGCAAGGCAGCTGCAAGAAGGCAGAATTAAGATGACAGGCTTAAAACATATAATGAAAAATCAGCATAAGAGTGGGAAAAAAGGGAATTCCCAAATCCAAGTTTCATTTTTCATTTGAGTTGTGTTAGGTATGTATATAAATCATTGGGGTAAAGTTAAAATTTCTGTTAAAACAAAAAGAGCAATTACTGTTTCTTAATCCAAAATGGTTATAAAATATTGAAGCTAAAGAATACAGTTAACTCAGCCACTGATGATTAGCTTACAAGGCAGTAGACATGTGAGTGAAATTTGGCTTTTTGCATTTACAGAAGGAGATGACAATGGCCAAACTTGACAGCAGACAAAAGCAAATTAGATAATAATCCCTTTGTATGTGCAATGAAGAACAAGGTAGGCCTAGCCATACTTATAAACTGACATGTGAGGAGGATTCCCTTGAACAAGGGATCTCTTTAGAAATTCTTGAAAGGGCTTCAAGAATCGTTCTTGCAGAGTAAACCAGGCCTTGCGCAACTCCATGCTACCCCAGAATAAATTGTTCCCAGTACTGAAACAAACTTGTTTTGTGCTATTTGAACACCTCTGGACTTCCTGCTTACTGTCAAAAGATTTTTTCAATTATTTTTTTTTTAAGTATATATTTGGGATATTTGTCAGCTCTGCTAATTAACATCCTGGCCACCAGGCAGTCGGTGAGGACTAGGTCTTCTTCACAGTGCTAACCACTAACTGTCTCTAGAGCAGACAACAGAGCATAGTTGGATTCTCAGGCTGATCACTCCCTCGCCTTAGAAGCACGCTCATGAAAGCAATACTCAGACTGCATGAGTTGTATAGCTACACAGTGCAGCTCTCTGAGACAAGCTCATGCTCCAGGTAGACCTCTACAGTGGCAACTGTGCACAAACGGAATGCATTTTTGTTGGAATTTCTCCATTAGCTTTATTACCCATTAGCACAAGAGCCTGAGTGCGTATCTGCAAAAGGCAGTTTTGGCAATGTCGTGGTTTACCCCCAGCCAGCAACTAAGCACCACGCAGCCGCTCACTCACTGCCCCCCCATCCAGTGGGATGGGGGAGAAAATCGGGAAAAGAAGTAAAACTCCTGGGTTGAGATAAGAACGGTTTAATAGAACAGAAAAGAAGAAACTAAGAATGATAATGATAACGCTAATAAAATGACAACAGTAGTAATAAAAGGATTGGAATGTACAAATGATGCGCAGGGCAATTGCTCACCACCCGCCGACCGACAACCAGCCAGTCCCCGAGCGGCGATTCCCCCCCCAGCCAGTTCCTAAACTAGATGGGACGTCCCATGGTATGGAATACACTGTTGGCCAGTTTGGGTCAGGTGCCCTGGCTGGGCATGAGAAGCTGAAAAATCCTTGACTCTAGTCTAAACACTACTGAGCAACAACTGAAAACATCAGTGTTATCAACATTCTTCACATACTGAACTCAAAACATAGCACTGTACCAGCTACTAGGAAGACAGTTAACTACATCCCAGCTGAAACCAGGACAGGCAAATACATCTTTATGATGTATTTGTATTTCTTTATGATGCCAAGCCAAAGAGCACCAGGCACCGCACCCATTCTTTGGGACCACGCAGACTCATCCCACGGTTCCTCCAAAACGTCCCCCCAGCAGAGTGGGGATCGTTCAGCTCCGGGCTGCCTCAGGAGGATCTGTGACCAGCTCACCGCTGCACAAGACCCATCTCCCTTGACCATCTCCTCCTCTGCAACACTGCCCCACGGACACCCACAGTCAAGGGCAGCTTATTACTGTCTGGCCTGGACGGAACCGGCTCCATCCAAGCGGTACAATGAAGATCCAGTTGCATAACCTGCTTTTTTATGTCTTCCAGAGGGCTGCCAGTAAGACAACTCCCCTTTTCCCAAGTGCGACATCGTTAAATCACACCCAGTTTTCAACCCTCTCTGCCTGCCATATCCTTTTCTGAAATGCTCCATCAGATTTAGTACAAGCAACCATAGGTGCAAAGGTGTAGGCTTGCAGTGTATGCGTGACATTCTTCCACATTTACACCAGTCAGTTCCTGTAAAGCTTACTATTATCTTTTGCAATAAATTGTATACCTTATCATACTATACAGAAAAAAATGTGTTTGCTTTTTTAACAGATACTTGTTCCCAATAAGGTTTTTAATGGTTACTCATGCCAGCTCCCATAGTATCACTGGTCTGCTTAAAAAATATTATCTATTGGCTTCAAGAACCAATGAATCCCTGGAAAAATCCCTAAGCTTCCTCTTACGAAGTGGACTGCTTACCTACATCTTAATGCTTTAGATGTTTAGCCCACTATATTTTCCATGTAATTAATCTTCAGGCTCTTTGATAACTTGAGAGGGAAACAGAGAGAGAAAATAAGGCTATAAGGAAACTCACAGTCACTGGTCCAGTATGTTGTACTTGCAGCACTAAAGGTAAGAGTGCCAGGGATTCAGCTCAAGTGCTGAATCTTCCCTCACCCTTCATGGGACTCACTGGCCAATAACTATTTCTAGCCACCTCTCCTGTTTAATTTCTAATCATCTTTTAATACGCAGTATAGGTATTCCCCACTTACGCTCTACAACATAGCTAAGAAAAAACAAGCACTGTGTTAAAAAAAGGACAGAATTTTATAATGTAGGGGTTTGCTTCTTGGGGGGGTGGTGTGGTGTTAAAAAACACCACTTTGGATATCTCAGCTTGTAAGAGGCTTACATAAGACAACGTAAGAGACCAGAGAAAGCATGCTTCAGATGTCCTGCCTTTGGGGCTTAAATAGAATGTAAACAGACCAGAAGGTCTCATATCTTTTGAATACTATGGTCGGGTGTTCCCCTTTTTACTGACAGTCCTATATTAATTATAATGTTAACATTATATTCTTTTTCCTAGAGTGTCTTCTCTACACTGTGACTTCTTTCACAGTCTTTGGAGTACTACAAGTCTGAGCAAGATTTGGAAGAAAATGATAGAAAAAGAAACCCTAAACAAACAGAGGACAAATGGAGATCTGTTAGTGGATTATTTTAACTTAGTCCAAAGCAATGTGGATCCTTTTCCCTTTAATTTCATGGCTCCTTGTAATTGTAGAGAGGGCTTATACTGTACCTGGGAGATCTGGTGTCTCTGACAGGTCGATCCAGAGGTACATGATCACGAAGTTAAACATTATACCCATAACTTAAGAACAGATTCTGTGCAACAGTTTGCTCCTCTTCCCTTAAATCTGCATTCCAGCGTTTGAACAACTGAGTCTGGGTAGAGCAAACGGTGTACAATCTTTTCCTTCTTCGCATTATCAGCTTTGCATACTTCAGTCTTGGAGTTATCTTGAAGCTTCAGATCATGTTCTATTTGTTTTATATTTTCATGGAATGCTTCCACTGATTTTGCTGATTGAAAATATGAGGAATGATTATAACAGCAATCAAGAACACTCTCCATCATCGTAACTGAGCCAAATTCTCCTTATAACACCACAGGTCAAGAGATCTGTGAAATTACAGCTAAATTGATATTCATATGAGAGTAGCATCAGATCCTCCCTCCTGCATGAGAACAGTTTTTAAACATCACATTTCACAATGTCCTGCATCAGATTCTGCTCTCAATTGCACAAGCGCAGAGCAAGGGACACTGCACCGGCATCAGTGGAGAAATCTGGGAGTAGAGGCAACACACCAACTGTTAAATTGGGCCCAAATCATTTCCATAATGTTATGCTTGAGTTACATTAATGTATTAATGATCTGTAATGGGATTCCCATGTAAGTCAGGTTGTCGATACCGTATTTATCTTGAAAGTAAATACAGTAAACGTGCCCTTTGCCGTCTCCTTTAATAAGCTTACTGGAATCTTCTGACACCTGCTCAGAAAGATTTGAACAGGGCGAACCCCCAGTCTCTCAAGGTTTTGTTAGGTTCACAATATTGTGCCATAAAGAAAAGTCCCAGCTAGCCTGTGTGAGGTTGTTTAGGACATATTGTTCTTGAAGGTAAATACAATAGACAAGTCCTTTGCAGTGTCTTTTGAAAAGCTTCTTGTCAGTTTTGACTTCTGCTCTATCAGAAATCTTTGAACAGGGTGAATCCTAATCTCTCAAGGTCTTGTTACGTTTACAATACTGGACTGTGCCATATAAAAAAGGCACAGAAAACCTGTGTGAGTTAAAGCTTTCTACAATTAAATTAGTGTCTTGGTGAATGAGGGGAGAAGAGTGCATATTGTTTGAACTCAAGTAAGGCTTCTGACACTGCCTCTTACAACATCTTCATGCACAAGATGAGGACGTACGCACTAGATAAGTGGATATCATGGGTGATTGAACTGCCATGATCAGAAGGTTGTGATCAGTGGCACAAAATCAAGTCTTGGCAACAGAACTGGTGACCTGGAGTTTATCACAAACTGATAGTTAAATCTCTCTTTCCTATCCAAAACCAATTGAAGGCTATAATGCATAGCGGCGTACAGACGAGAAACGGGTAAGGATCATGCCAATAAAGTTGGAAACAGGCACACACCTTTTGTTTTCATTTTCACTCAGTTCTGTCACTATGCCAAGTTACTGCTTTGTTGAACACTCTTCTGGAACACAACCCTGTACTTTGCCCAGGATGGCCTCAGCCTTCGGAACCTCACCAAATGCAGTGGCAGCCTCAGCTTTATTTTAAGTGACAGCAATATCTGTTTGAGGTGGATTTCCTAAGAAAATTCTGTCTATGGAATGTGTATGTGTTCCTGTTTATCCACCCTTCCTCTACTGAGGAGTCCCAATGCTGTTGGCTAAAGACAGTAGGCAACTTCACAGAGAAGGGACCCTGCCATTTACCCAGCTGCAGAAAGACTACAGAATAAGTTTAAGCCTTATACACCAGCTAATTCGATGGCAGAGAGACATCACAAACACCGTAACAGGGACAAAACAAAGTGTTGATGCCCCGTTAGGCACCTGAGAAATCAAACACAAGACACAAATCCAGAAGAAACTAGATGTCTTTAGGTGAGAATCTTTCAGCTGCTCACTGAAGCTCCTGTTTACAAAACACTCCTGACCAAGGAAGCTTGGACAACCTTCCTGATTCTGTAACACCCATGGCAAATTTTTCACATAGCAAAGAGTCAGAAGACTGACTTACCATGCGCATCGCTTGCTGAAGGGATGCAGGAACTCCAGGAAGAGCTTGCAAACACAAGGTGACAGTAGCTTCACAGAGCTCCCAACACTATTGCTAGAGAGCCAAGCTGACCCCTCTCCACACACCTGATCCCTTACCACCAGGTAGGGCTTCCCCAAGTAGCTTGTAGTCACCTTTGCTCTCCACCTTCCTGGCAGCCACACCTGAGAGGCTCCTCAGCTGCAGGCACTTGGACAAATCGAGGCAATTACTGGGTTTCTGCTCTGTCTGACAGGTCTGCGTTCTCTATTTGACAGGACAGACTGCTTTGATCAGGGACCAGAAGCTGAGTGGCATTTCCTCCAAGCAGAGTCAGTTTGCAATACCCAGGCTCAGGGATAATCTTGAGACAAGCAAACTCCATAGTTTTAAAGCAAGGAACGTGCACCCTCTATTGCCAAAATCGACAAGTTGCTGTTGTCAAAGTTTGCTGTTGGCCAAGACCAGTAAGTCCGTGGTAGAGAAAAACCATGGTTTACAACCGCACCAGTAAATAAAACTTCATCAAGGCACAATCATTTCCCAATCATCATTTCCCAATCATTGCCAATGCTGTAATCGTTCACGTGCTCCTGCCTGCACCATGTAGGACTTTCTCATAGAATACCTGCCACAATTTGCAGAGTAAGACTTACCAGAGACGTCTCCCCACAGGAATAACTCGAGGTCAGTGAGTGCGTTCTGGTCAGCATGCAGGAGAGGAGCTAGGTGTGTGTGGTGGGTTGACCCTGGCTGGACTCCAGGTGCCCACCAAAGCCCCTCTATCACTCCCCTCCTCAGCTGGACAGGGGAGAGAAAATACAACGAAAGGCTCATGGGTCGAGTTAAGGAGAGGGAGAGATCACTCACCAATTACCATCATGGGCAAAACAGACTCGACTTAGGAAAATTAGTTTAATTCATTACCAATCAAAATCAAGAGTAGGATAATGAGAAATAAAACCAAATCTTACAACACCTTCCCCTCACCCCTCCCTTCTTCCCAGGTTTAACTTTAGTCCCCATTTTCTCTACCTCCTCCCCCCAGCAGTGCAGGGGACAGGGAATGGGGTTTGGGGTCAGTTCATTATGTTGTCTCTGCCGCTCCTTCCTCCTCAAGGGGAGGACTCCGCACTATTCCCCTGGTCCAGCGTGGGGTCCCTTCCATGGGCTGCAGTCCTTCAGGCACAGACTGCTCCAGCGTGGGTCCCCCACGGGGTCACAAGTCCTGCCAGAAAACCTGCTCCGTGGGCTCCTTTCTCCACAGATCCGCAGGTCCTGCCAGGAGCCTGCTCCGGCGCAGGGTTCCCACGGGGTCACAGCTTCCTTCAGGAACCCACCTGCTCCAACGTGGGGTCCTCCCCGGGGTGCAGGTGGAGATCTGCTCCACCATGGACCCCCATGTGCTGCAGGGGGACAGCCTGCCTCACCAGGGTCTTCCCCACGGGCTGCAGGGGAATCTCTGCTCTGGCGCCTGGAGCATCTCCTCCCCCTCCTTCTTCACTGACCTGGGGGTCTGCAGGGTTGTTTCTCTTACATGTTCTCACTCCTCTCTCCTGGCTGCAGAATGTGTAGGGTTTTTTTCCCCCTTCTTAAATATGTTATCCCAGAGGTGCTACCACCATCGCTGTTGGGCTCAGCCTTGGAGCTGGCTGTTATTGGCTCTGTCAGACATGGGGGAAGCTTCTAGCAGCTTTTCACAGGAGCCACGCCTGTAGCACCCTCCTGCGACCAAAACCTCACCATGCAAACCCAACACAGTGTGCCACCAACAGCTTTGTCCTCTCACTTACTTCCAAGGCCCAAGAACAATCCCTCAGCTGGTCTTTCACGATAACATAGAGGTAACTCTGTATGCAAAACACTGCACCTCCTTCTCAATGATGCTGGCCAAGCCAGAAAATTAGATACCCTATATTTCATTAACAATACAGAAGAATCATGAAAAAAATTAAGCAATGGAATAGTTTGTTTTGGCTAGGTTTTTGACAGCTCCAAGAATATCCAACTTAGACATGCCAATAGGTTGTTTGATTCATACAAGCTAAAAAGCTGACCTTCTGATGGAAAGGAATAATGGTAATTTGCCCGATTTTTTTTTTCCTGATGCATAAAAGAAAGAGTGCTTACCTGTGCTAAGATACTCCTGCTTCTTTTAGACTTTCAGAACATTTTTTGAGGGTTTTTTTGGGGGGGGGGGAGGCGAGGGGGGGCAGAGCGGGGAGCAGGGAAGCAGAAATAAAGAGATGAATCCCAGCATCATATTAGGCTGGTTGTTTTGGAACAACAACAAAAAAAAAAATCAATTTTACTTTTTCCATGAAGACTTACAAAGAGAAGAGAAACACGTTTTCATGAAACATACAGATTATGCTTTTGTTGAAATTTTATGGAAATCCAGGAAAGGGAAAAATAAAGGACCTCTGGACAGAAATAGGGCTAGAAAAAGTGACAGAATGAGATTCATCTTGGGAAAAAAAACCTAAGCTAGCAAGAACATAGCAGACTGTATTGTGAAATTCAGTAAACTGTGACAGTAAATGAACAACTGCCATCAGATTAACTACAGTGTGAAAAGCTACAAAGAAAAGTTAGGGCAGTTCAGGGTTCGCATGCCACCACACACAGCAAGCTAAGTCTCTTGGCTGTAAACTCTGCTCAGACGACAGCTGAAATGTTATGCTGATATTACTGCACAGCCCATTGTAGAGCCATTAAAAAAAGAGAGAGAGAGAATGAGAGGGAGCAAAGAGCACCTTGTACTGTACATGTCACGGTTAAACCACAAGTACTGTACTATGCACTGTAAATGCATAGGAATACCTTAATAGTACAAGTGTAGTACAATAGTATTTAAATACAGTGCATTTTAAAATATTTATTTTTAAAACACTCAATGTTTGGTTAAAAGTACCAACAAAATACCTCTTTGGTAATAGGAACATTTTCTGCATGGTTTGGGTATACTGGGGTGAAGAGGAGAGAGGAGAAAAGCACACCTAGAACAGCTGTACCATTCCACTCACTTTCAGGATCAAAGAATGATCCTTCACTGGTCCTGTGTCACAGCACAGATACTACTGTGGTACACTGAAGAAAGGACAGAGGGGAAACAGTTTGTAAGATGCAGAAATTCTAGGGTTGCTGGTAAGCACACTCAGCATCCTTCACAGCTAACAAGGAAACACTGAGCAGAAGTCCCATGCTAGCTGAAGTCAGTGGCATTTTTGCCAAACTTGAGAATTCTTACCCTTCATGGTAGAAACTAAGCACTGCCCAGAGCAGGCTCCTAGGGACACTGGTCGCCTTCCAGTACAAGGAAGGACAACGCATTGGAACTGGAGTAGAAAGAGACGGTCCAAGGAAAAATCCTGCACTAGTCAAGAAGGGATGTTGTGAATCACTCTTTACATTCCTATGGGTTCTGAAATGGTTTGAACCCACAGGTTTCAGGAATGGTTACTCTAGAGGAAAGATCATGAACTGACATACACAGTCATTGCCATGAACAGAGGTACGCCCTTCATCACTATCCCAAGACGTGCTTCCAACTTTTACTCTGTGAAGCAGTCCTGTGTGCACCACACACTACAAGCTTCAGAGCTGTTCAGCATATTTCTTTCCAAGAAGCTCTCTCTCACTTGATGTCTGATTATTTTCCTCTCAAAAATGCACTGGGCTCTATTTTTTCCTGACTGACATTTTTATTCTTTCCTGCCCACATTTATAACATCTTCAGTGCCCATTCACTTGCCTTTATCCTCACAGGTCTTTGCCAAACTTTCCAACTTAGAAACAACTACGAGTGTCCTTAATGCACTACCCGACTCCTCTTGCAAATCATAGGGAAAAACTGCATTAAGACAAAACTCTGCCAGGGGTTTCTTCTTTTTAAATCACCACACTATGGATGTGCACACTGTTGCCATTGCTGTGTTTGGTTTGTAGTCCTTAAGGTTCTGCAGCTGCATTAAAATCCACGTTAGCATTTAACCCCCATCAATCTGAACCATTTTTTCCTGTTGGAATACATATGCATGTTCTGGAGACAAGGAGCTGGAACACTGCCAGGATCCATTCATTTTGTAATCTGAGGATATTGACATATGTATTTCCCAAATGTTCTGCATTCATTGAGGTTCTTTCATCTTGCTTTTCATAATTATCTGTGTTTATTCACCCAGGTTTTAAAGTAACACAAACTGAAAATTGCTCAAAATTAATGGGTATGGTCTCCATAGCTAAAGATTGAACAATGTGGTTTCCAGCTTATTCCTGACCATACAGGTTTCACCAGAACTGACTCAGAAATTTTATTTAACTGTTTTTATGAAAGAAAACTTTTCAACTGGAATAGAAATAGTTGGGTGCCCATGTTTTGTTAACCTCCCTATTTTGTATCCTGTGCTGCATAAAAAGCCCTACCGTATAAAGAGCCCTACCATATCCTGGGCTGCATAAAAAGTGTGACCCTTTACTCTCATGAGACCCCATGTGCAGTACTGCATCCAGCTTTAGCGGGGCTCCGGTACAAAAATGACATGGACCTGTTAGAGCACTTCCAGAGGAGGGCCATGAAAATGATCAGAGAGCTAGAACAGCTCTCCTATGAAGAACACAGAGTTGTTCAGTGTGGAGAAGTGAAGGCTTCAGGAGACCTCATTGCAGCCTTTCAATACTTAAAGGGGGCTTATAAGAAAGACAGAAACTTTTTACCAGGGCCTGTAATGATAGGACGAGGGGTAATGGTTTTAAACAGAAAGACGGTAGATTTAGATTAGATATTAGGAAAAAATTCTTTACTGTGAGGGCGGTGAGAGACTGGAACAGGTTGCCCAGAGAAGCTGTGGCTGCCCCATCCCTGGCAGTGTTCAAGGCCAGGTTGGATGGGGCTTGGAGCAACCTGGTCTAGTGGAAGGTGTCCCTGCCCATGGCAGCAGGGCTGGAACTAGATGATCTTTAAGGTCCCTTCCAACCCAAACCATTCTGTG